TTCATTCATTCATTCATTCATTCATTCATTCATTCATTCATTCATTCATTCATTCATTCATTCATTCATTCATTCATTCATTCATTCATTCATCTTTTGTCAGTTAGTGTACAAGACCTGGAAACGTGTGTGGGAGTTTTAGGGTTAATTTATTCTACTATTTTGTAATATAAAATATAAAAAACCATACTGATGATTTTTTTTATAAATGTACAAAGTGACATCACAAGAATTTGATTAAAACCGTTTTTATCCATGGTTTAGTCAGATTTATAAAATGAATTCATGAAGCATTTTTCCACCATAAACTCTCCGATTATCACCTGAATAACTTTAATCTAAAGATTACTGAGTAAGAAATATTTAAATGTTTGAACTGTTTATTTTGTCAACTGTAAAGCTAAAATAAAACGAGGAACACGGTAATAAACAAACAAGTCAAACTGCAAAATAAAGTCTGATTTATGGATTTGTTTGCAGATGAAATGAAAACTGGAACAAAGTCGGTGTTTTCTGAGAATCAGGTTTTTCTTGCTTAATTTTTTCCTTYAGGAAGAGATGGAGGAAGTTCACAGAGACGAACTCCACAGCAATGTTATGGTCCTGACATTTATCATCTGCTGAAAACCTGCAGAGGAGGTACAAACTCTCACAAAGTCCACCTTCCAAACTACTGAATACACCATGAACACACTGTTCCTCTGGTGCTTTATGTTTCTGTTCTGTTTCATTTTGTTCTTATGGTGAAGCTCACATCAGGATAGTTAAAATGTATCTGAATTTAAGACAACCTTTTTAAACACACGAGGGAAAATGAAATGAAAATGAAAATCACCCACCACCTTTCATTTCACAACAAACAATGTCTGGAAAATCTCCAGTGTTTTTCTAATGTTGATTGTGACAAATCAACATTGAATAAACTCACTTGGTGCCAGGCTTGTTGCATCCTCTGTAGTTACTATGCCAGGCAGGGTTGCCAGATAAGAAAACTGTTCAGACCTATGGAATGAGCTGACTGAGAGAGGGTGAGTGTTATTATAATAATAATAATAATAATAATAATAATAATAATAATAATAATAATAATAATACGTTTTATTTGGAGGCATATTTCTGGCACTCAAGGACACCCAACAGGCAACAGATACATAAAAACATGAAAACACTGAAACATGCATGTAAATCATGGGTCTCCAACCTTTTTTTCCTTAAGAGTTACTTTTACAATATGAAGTTATCTAGGAGCTACTTTTGAAATATTAAATTTAAACTTAAAACATTAGAATAAGATTGTTTTGCACAAAAAATAACATTGTCTTCAATTCACATGAAACCACCAGAAAAAACACTGAATTAACATGAATGTGCTTTTTGTCTTTATCCATTCATGTTATATTGTATTTCACACTAATAACTTAGGGTTTAACTGCAACAGATTTGTGCACAAATAGCGACGGGTCTCCAGTTATTTTTTTCCACATTGTAGACTCCAGTGGGAAGAAACCCCCTGTAGTGACATATACCGCAGTGGGAGGGGTTTCCCAGGAGCTCAGTGTGTGTCAGGGGGTTATTATGAAAGGTGTGTGTGAAAACAAAGGCCAAACAACCACGTGACTGCATGTCATCTGCTGATCAACCATACTGAGACCTAAACTGACAACCAAGAGGAAGAGGAAGGGTCATCTGTAGCAGTGTTTCCCAAAGTTGGGGTCGGGACCCAAAGTGGGGTCCCGAAACATCAAGGTGGGGTCCTGAAAAGATTTTCTGAATTAATTACATTAGTTGTTCACAAAGGAGTGAGGTTAGTATATTTAAAATGATAAATGTAGTATAAAAAATATTGTTACTATGCCCATGTTTAGTTGACCTGATACAAATGTTTATCATTCAAAAATGGTTGGGGGC